TTAACCCATGAAGACAGTGGGGTGTGAGAACAGTCTTTTTAGAGGCAGTAAAAACCCATTTGGAATATTCACGCCCCGAATTCCAAATTTTTACTGCCTCTAAAAAGACTGTTCTCACACCCCACTGTCTTCATGGGTTAATAATATTCCAAGCGGACACTGTTTCAGCTGTAACTTCCACGCGGTTAGGCCCCAAGCGGGTAGGATATGTTAATTTTTTTTTTGGTTCGGGGCGGCGTAGCCGCCCCGAACCCAAGCATTACTGCCTACACACTCCACTGTCCACATATGTTATGATTTATTTGGAATAGAACTATGTATAATAGAAACATTGCACGAATAACTAATTCATTTTTTAATTTGATTTTAAATTTCGTGCACTATTGGACCCAAGAATCGCTAAACGCATGCGCATTAAGTCACAGAGCATGAAAAGGCATACTCATAGCGCTTATATCGAGTCGGTATGACAGATTTCCTAACCTGAACGGTCGTGAACTTTAACGCTAAATATCTCGGTTCGCGGGGCAGAGCGACGCTTATTTCTGCCAGATTCGTTCGTTTCATGCAAAAACGCATCGAATGAGCCTAATTTCATTAAAATCGGTGAGGTCGGCCGTCATCTCCGTAATTACCATTTTTTTTAAAGAACATGACAATTATTTTTAATGTCATCATAAAATGTCTCAAGACAAGATAGGTAGAGTTTCACAATCAAACTTATTTTTATACCATACAATATATCTACAGTAGTTAATAATATGTGCAGTTTCATCGAAATAAATAAAATTTACTTGCAGTTGGCGTTGACATTCTCTTGGAATTTTTGGAAGTAGCGTTCAATCACATCTTATTCTTTCGCAAAATCTATCCTAAGGAAATTTTTGTTAAGAAAAAGATATATGGAATTACAGTGTATGTATCAGAACATCCAGAATTGAATGAATATTTATCAAATGTTCTGAATGCAATCAGAGAACTGATAAAGGAAGATGAAAACAGTATTAGAGCCATCAATCTTACCTTCTACAATAAGAACAAGTCACCAATAGAAAAATTTGTCTTTAATATGGTTAAATTGCAGGCAGAGTTTATGGAGTATGTTGAACAATAACTAGTATGAATAATAACATTATCTGATTTTTATATATTATTAATATTATTCTTTTCTATTTTAAGGAGAGATCCATATTATTTAAAAACAGAAGAAGCGCTGAAAACAATTTGCTTAAAATTATCAATGAGTGATACATACTTAAAAGCTATTCCAGACAATTCAACTTTTTCTATTGAAATTCAAACATATGAAACTGCACATATTACTCTGAGCGAAAATCCAAAATGTGAAGATTTTCCATGGATTATTAAAGATAATGCAGTAGAAATGATCAATAAAAATCTATTGCCATTAAAGGACATCAAAACAGATTGTTTAAACTTGCAACTTTATGTGATTGAGGATACAGCAAACAAAATCTAAAATTTAAATAAATTTATACGATTCATAAAATTAATTCATAATATTACTATAGTAGTTTAATTGCGTTTATAAATCCGAAAAACTAATTCAGCGAGCAGTTCAAATGATGACATATTTGATATATAAATTCATATAGAAATTATTTAAGCATCTAAGATCCAGACTGTCCTTGACCGTCATAGGCTTTAAACTCTTATTTGCCTGTGTATTCACATATATGGTCTTAATAAATCATTTATTATTGTTTACACAATTGATTTATATCCTTTTTTTGTACTTTTATTTTGTATAAATCATTGAAAAGATACATTTGACTGTACTTATTAAACTTGTCCCATCAGTTTAGATATAAATTCTTTATCTCTATTCCATAAGATGTTACAAATGGCATTCAATTGATACGAGCAATCAAATATTTCAGATCTTACTGACAATTTACTGGCATCAATTTTAATCACCTTAACTTTCCACTTGTCCTCGAATTCTTTAATTTGTGCTTCATCTATCATAGAGCTTGACCAAGGTTTGAACCTGTAAAAAGTCGGATCAAGATTATCTGAATCTTTTCCATTTTGTAAATACGATTATCAAGTAATGGTATTACTTTGTGCCAATGACTACGTTTGCTGGTTTTCCTTTTATATTGATCATTGTATTCATCAAGTATGGAATGTCATTGAAGCTTGATGCATCATCAAAGGAAAACACAGAACATACCGCATCAACTTTATCTTTGCAAACCTGCAAGTGAAAAAAAGATATTGTCTATATATTTATTTAATTAATAGAACATAATTATCAAAGAATTTATACATATACTTCTCACACATAGAGTGTAAAGGGATAAAGGTCGATTTCAAAGATTTGGGAAGGGAAGGATAATGAAATTTAGAGATATTATGAGACGCAAATCTAGATGAGACGAAAGGGGCAATGATAAGTAAATTATGGAAGGAGAGAGAGAAAGTAATTAGAAGTAAGGAAAAACAAGATAAGGATAAAAGACAAGAGGTAATAGAAATAGTGGTGAAATGATAGATTATGAGGCACTAAGGTGCGCTAAGACGTGGTTGATAAGTAAAGATCATATGTGGAATATATGTGTCTTGTAAGATAGTTGTAAGATAGGTAGTGTGAAACGAGTGCTGTGAACAGGTTGTGAATTTTAAATGGTTGTGATTATAGTTAGGGTAAAAATAAAAAATAGGAGTATTGGGAACAGAGGATAATATCTAAGATAAGCGAGATGAACTAAACAATAAGAAAAGTATGGATGGATGTGTGTGGTAAGAAAATAATTGTAAACCAAGTCCTCTTCTTGACAATTTTGTAAGCTGAAGTGAATAAAATTCTATTCTTCATATACTTCTCACACATACTGGCAAAATGTGGTTGTATTTTTTTATACTATTTTCCGAGGTATCCCAAAATTGCAATTTAAATAGAACGACTTTATCCCAAATTTTTACAGGCCAGTAAATGTTTGTTTTCCTTATTCCATTGGTTTCTATATAACTGTTGGAGTCGAGGATACCTGCGAGTCTTGCTATTACCGAAGTCTTTCCAACACCAGATCTACCTATTATAAAGATCTTGTAAGTGACTTCCTCAATGGAAGAAGGTAATGATGGCTTCTCCAGAATACCTGTAAAATGTATGAAAATAGTAAAGTGGGAAGAAAATATTAATGTGTGTGTGTGTGTGTGTGTGTGTGTGTGTGTGTGTGTATACATATGTGTATATATATATAGTTATATAATAGTTAACACAAACAGATAGAGCACCATAAAATCTCCTTTTTTTAGAAGAATTTACGTAGAAGTGATGGATCAAGGATTCTCCTTCTGCTGAAGCTAACCAGTTCATATTAATCGCATTCATGCTTCTTCGGTTTCACTACGGAATAAAAAGCGATAAAGTGTATTTGAATGCATTATAACGGAATGCAAAATTCCATACAACTTTGTACAGAATATAATTACTTTGCATTGTGGGAGTTTAAAAATTTAATCAATCGATCGATCGTATGATAAATATCCGTATCACCGACGAGATACTATATTAAAGACCGACGTTCTTACGGGAGTTCGCGTCCTTGTTAAGATTGAAGTGATTAAAAGTAAAAAACTGATAATATTGTACTAATTTTATGATTTATTAGTTTAGTAGACGTATTTATCGGTGTATATGCATTTAAAACTTAATACTACTCGATTTTTCTTCAAAATTGTGATTTCAGTGTTATCGTCAGAGTTTGATTATCAACAGAGATAATAACTGCAGAGAAAAAATTGTAATTTTCAGCAATATATAGGATATTATAGCTTTACAAGTATGCATATTTATTTATGGAGCATTTACATAATAAAAAATCATGAATTTAATAATGTATTAGCCAAATATTTATGTTAATAATAGCAAATTTATATCAATTGTCGGTAATTTATATCAATTGTCAGCGTTCTTCGATTATCTCCGGGCCCTTTTTATACCGCTGAAAGTTTGCCCAGGGTTGACGGTCTGTCCGTATGTATTATCTTTCATGAAAACGGCACTAAATACAACAGCCAATTAGAACTATTCGTTGAGCGCCGCGTGTAAAAAAAAGTGCTTCTCATTCGCTAAAAGTAAGTATGCAATTTAAATGTTTAGTCTTGACGTTATTAAGCTACCGTTATTGCAATTATTACCATAAACGTATAGTAAATAACGCGAATCTTTTTTATGTGGCGATTTAATCATTCTCTAATGGCGAATTCGGCACACATGCACTGATTCCGCTCTAGTGTGCGTGTGTGTGTATATGTAGGTAGGTAGGCAGGTATTGGTAGGTATGCCCTTTAATAAACTGACAGAAGAAGCTGCGCGTGTATGTATGTATGTATGTATGATGTACAGGCGAATGATCGCGCATCCCGCCTTAGAGTGAACCAATCGCCTGACGCGCCGCACTCTGTCGCGGTTGAAACAGCGGCCGCGATTGGCCGTGTAGCCGGCGTCGGTTCGGACACGGCCGTGTGGCCAGCCAATAATCACAGCGCGCGCTACGTAACCAACTGTTTGTGACTGTTCCGCCATATTGTGTATGGAGCGCGGGTCAGTGGCGCGTGTATATGGGTCTTTCGTGAATATTTTCTCCAATTTTCTCCTACGCGTCAAACGTAAGGTGTGCATGAATTTGCCTGTCTGATTAACGGGGCCTATCGCGCGTGTATGATGGATCCGTCGAAATTGAAAGTGGTGGAGTTGCGAGCCGCACTAAGCGAGCGCGGCCTCGACACCAAGGGCAACAAGCCAGTGCTCGTCGAGCGGCTACGCAAGGCTCTGGAGGAAGAAGCACAGGAGTGTAAGTTATACTTAGTGTGCACCATCAAGTACCTCCCTCGTACTTGCTCTTATTTCAATTACTCTACTAATTTCTCATGGTATACCATTACCATGCATATTACAATGGGATTCTGATAATCACCATCATACTGCTACACCATGTAATGTTATAAGATGTAGCTGATAATGTGCTCACAAATTATGTTCCTTTATTTACATGTTGAGATGTCATCCAATATGGTGTCATGTCTGTTATTTGTTTCTTGTATTAATGTCTAAAATTGGGTTTTTTAGTTTTAGATTTATTTTTGTCTAACATCCTATCTAACGAGGTAGTACAAAATTATAACATTTTTTATTTTGCAGGTGGTTCAGATTTGCAAACAGAGAATATTGATGATACTGCTTTGAAAGAGACACAAGAGAAAGTCGTAGAAGCTACGCGATCGTCGCAATCACCACGGACGCCTAATAGAGCATCTAGGAGTTCCTCGGTAACGACTCCAACAAAAATTTCCACGAGAAACGCATTAAGAGCATCTACTACTCCAAATTCTTCAAAACAATCTACTCCGAACAAATCTCAGTATGGCGAGAAAGCATATGAGACACTAATAACAAATGAAGAAGCTGTAACCCAACAAGAGGAAATGTCAAAATTATCTCCTAAAAAGTGTAAAGAAGAGCAAGAAGATGATGCATCAAATATTCTTCAGAACAAAATTCATTCATCTGATAAATGTGAGGAGGAAGAGGCAAAACATGTTAATATTTTAGAAGGTAATAAATATCGAGCAAATATTTTCCAAGTACCTGTGACAGAACCGTCTGACAAACCTAGTACAATTGCCTGTGTAGATCAATTTTCTATAACTCAAGAGGCTCACGAAGCAAAGGGATCTAGTATAGTTGAAATTGATAAAGTTCAACAGTTAGCTGCAGAAATAAAGGATATGAAACAAGAAGAAAAGATAGAGATTAAAGATGAAGTTAAAATTTCAATTGAGAAAGAACATGTTGAACGTAAAAAAGATAGATGTAACATTAAGGATAATATAGACATTCCGGAAGTTGAACAGCCAACACATGTGATACTTGATCAGGCAGATGAAACATGTGAATCAAAGCAAGAAGAAAAGACTATTCATGATGATTATACAGTGCAAGATAAAAAAATGGACATTTCAGCTAATGTAGAAAATTTAGATGAAAAAATTGATACTATTAATATCTCACAAGATAAACAGGTATATAATCTATATTTCTATAATCTACGTATGTGTTTCGTTACGAATAATATAAATAGTTTGTAACAATGTGTAAGAATTGCTTCTGTAAATTTTATGTATTTTTTATCATATATTTTTATTTTTATTTGCGTGAAAGAACATAAAAATAGCTGAAAACTATTTTTTTAAAGCAAAAAGCAACATTAGATGCAGGAGAATCAAATCAAATGGAATGCAATGACAGGAAAAGAAAAAGATCCCCTAGTCCAGCAGAAGTCCGTCAACTATCTCCTGTGCCACAGAAATCAGAGGATGAACCAGATCTTGATGAGTCAACTGTAATTTTATCATGGTGTAAGTTTTTTAAATTAAATATCTATGCATTTTTTTGAGATTAGTAATTTATTTTTAATATATATGTGATATTGTATAAATATTTTTTTTATTCTTAGATGACTCAGATTTGAATTTAGTTATCAATAAAGATGGATTTCTTTCTGGTACACCTATGCATGATGGTGATCTCTGTGATATGTGGGCTGGTGCAAGAGCGTCTCATGGTGTTTCAAATGGAAAAGTCTATTATGAAGTCAGAATTGTACAACATTACCCTACTATCGCAAAAGATAAGAAACAATCGCATATGCTTAGAATTGGTTGGTCAGTACCCTCTACATCCATGCAACTTGGCGAGGAAAAATTAAGTTATGCATATACAAGTGCTGGACAACAGGGTACTGACAAGAAGTTCACAGATTATGGTTCTCCATTCGGCAAGGACGATGTTGTCGGATGTTATCTCGACATGACACCTGAGAGTACCGTAGAATTGTTTTACACAGTAAATGGGAAAAACGTTGGATCTGCATTTAGTATCTGCAAAGAGGAACTTGGTGATAGACCATTGTTTCCACACATTCTGAGTAAAAACTGTACGTTTGTTTGCAATTTTGGCCAAGAGGAGGCATGGTGTGAGCAAATCCCAGGCTATATTTTAGTGGGTAATATCGAATCCAAGGATAGAATTGCGGGTCCACGTAGGCCAAATGGAAAGGCAGATTGCGAGGTGATAATGATGTGCGGTTTGCCCGCGGCAGGAAAGACTACCTGGGCAAGGAAGCACGCGGCCGACCATCCAGATAAACTATACAATATTTTAGCAGTTCACAAATTGGTTGAGAAAACTGGGGTATGTATCCATAAAATTATAAAAAATTACTAAATTTAATATATATAGTGTTTGTTCTGAATACAATGTTTTCTTTCTACTCAGGACGTTGCTCTGTCAGATAAAGAGCAAAACATCTGTCAGCGAGAAATTATTATCGACAGATGCAATCGCGCACTCGATCAACTGATCAACGTAGCAAGTGGTAGAAGACGTAACTATATATTAGACCAGGTATGTGTGTATATGCATGCGTGTGAAAGAATATAGATATTTGAATAATTAAATTGTGAAATCTAAATATTGTTTTTGAAATAATCTTGTGATGTATATGCAGAAGAGCAACATATATTCCTCTGTACAAAGGCGTAAAATGCGAAATTTCTGCGGATATCAGCGGAAAGCAATCGTTGTTATACCAGCAGACGAAGAGTACAATCAACGTTTGTCGATGTACAATACAATCGAAGGAAATTCTTTAGTGTCCAATCTTACGGAAATGAAAGGTACTCATTGTCATTATACTTGTAATACATATGATTGTAATTAAGAATAGATTATTTAAATAATGATACATGTAATTCGAATATGTATATAGCAAATTTCACTGCACCTTCGGTGGGAGAATTTTTCGATGCAGTGGAGTGGACCGGTTTTGGTGAGGAAAAAGCTAAGAAGCTCATTGAGAAATATAACAAGGAAGGCAAAGATGCTAGATTTAGTCAACAACCACCGGTAAAACAACCACGTCTTGACAAGACTGAGAGTATCAAAGAAACACGTGATTCTCGAAACAGTCGAGACACTCGAGACACTCGAGACACTCGAGACACTCGAGATCGAAGAAATAGTTGTGAGTATTTTATTATTATTATTATTGTTATTATTATTATTATTATTCATTCATTATATATTGCATAATACTATATTGCATGCTTATGGATAAGATCAAGATAGAGGTCGCAATCCTTCTTGGCGTGGTTCCAATATGGGAGGTTGGAGAGGAGAGAGATCGCAAAGAGGTGGTTACATGAGGCATACTGGTGGTTACGGACACCCTCCTGTTCCATGGAGACTACGAGGACGAGGCGGACCTGCAATGGTACGATCGGACAGAAGAATGGGTGGAGTTGATAGGAGATCAGGAAATGACAGAAATCGATCTGTTGCGCCTAGGCAAGGTGGTTGGGGCCCTATGAGGTAACTATTTTTTCTAATCCAAAATTTTTTTATAACTGAATGAGTGATCCAATAAATGATTTATAATAAAAACGGGCAAATGATGTATGTGCTTATATTTCAGTGGAACTTATCAAGGATCACAACAGTCCAGTTGGGGTCAACAGGATAATTGGTCAAGTAGCCAAGCTGCAGGAAATTGGAACCAACAAAGTGGCTGGGGACAACAGTGGGGAGGCGGTTGGAAGGGATATGGTCAAGGCACGTACGGTCAAGGTCAGACGGGATACAATCAACATGGATACGGCAATGGTAACTGGAATAGCTGGAATCAACAGTATTACAACAACCAGTATTGGAGTCAACAACAACAGAGTGGGCAGACTACTGCAGCTAGCGGCCAGGCTGTAAGCAAACAATAATCCACCACCGTAAATGTTGCGAGAACGGAAAATAAATGTAAGGTACAAATAATAGAACGCTACTTTTGTAAATGGAAAGTTTCAATTTTCAATTTAACCAATATGTTGCTAGAATCGTTTATTCATGTAATTGCATATGAATTTTGCACACGCATACATTCGCAGGAGATTACAAGCGAAATGGTTGCAACAACTTCTACCAATATGAGCGCAGGATATAGTTATTCACAGGGATAACAGACTTTTGCGCGAGGACGAGCACGCCCGTACTAAGTACTGCGACAGCAACCACCATGCAACAGTCTCTCATTCACATAAGTAGAAGAAAGAATTTATACTACACACGTTGTATACATCACGGTATATGTATGTGTTTGACAAACGTTTGAATTTTTTTGCAATGTCATATACTTGTAGAATGTTACATCGACATAACAGCGGATACATGCAGCATTATGTTCTTTTAATTTCAACTATGATTCGCACGATTTTTTCATCTCGTGCGTAAGGACATTACAAGCATTACAAGAACAAATTCGCAATTTGCATTGCAACAAGTTCATGTGAGAAAATTAATTTTGAAATATAATTGATATTAATAAATTCCGCGATTCTCTTACCGGAAACACAGGTCTAATAATATAAGTGCATTAACGATAATGTAATATTTGCGAGAAAGAGAATATAACTTTTTATCGCATCTTTAAAAATTAAGAAGAAAAGGTAAGAGGAAGAGTACTACGTATGGGTACAAAAAAAAACCACGCAAGTAGTATTAAAAGTCGAAAAGAAAAGATAGCAATCTCAAAAGCGCGTGTAAATATGTACAGATCTAAAGTAAAGAAATTATGCAGAAAATATCTATTTATATATTGAATAGATGTAGCGAATTCGCTTGAATGTATCTGTGCACATTAAAAACTGTGGTGTGCAAATTGATGTACAATTATTACATGTAATAATTGACATAATAATGTATGCATAAGCAATTAAACTCTAAACAGGGTTTCTGAAACCCAAGCATAAGTTGTCTGTACTATTTGATATATTATTTGCTGGTCATTTCATCGATCGCTTATGTTTTTACAGTTTTGACAGATTAGCATGCGACAAGCTTTAATCTGCACTAGTGAATTCGCTGATAGTGAAACTTAGCAGTGCCCTGTTAGAAAGAGAAAAACTATGCAAGAAAAAATATATTGTATATCATTTATCCCTATTCTTATCTTTCTATACACCACCGAGAATGTATAAAAAGAAAAATATTGTGGCGCAAATAAATTATTCTTGGACACATATTTTATACATGCAGATTTTTCATTGTACAACACGACACGAACGATGTTGCTATGATAATTAATTTGGTTTATTAAAGTTTGAAACATTTGTATCTTATACAGAATACTTTTCTCTAGTACTATCATTATTCACCTATATGATTGTGCTGATTGTCTACTTCTTGAATGTATTATATGAGAGAGAACGGCGTTTTTTGTATATTTAATTGTGCACATTGGTCTTGTCTGTTTTCTACTATATTCGATATTTGATTCATAATGCATTTGTTACCCTACGTACTTCCTCTGCTAGGACAATTGATTTCTTTATCACACCCTCACTCGAGCAAATAAAGAATGAACACCTCACGACGTCTATCTCAGCTGCACCGTATCAATGATATATTTTTGTATGTATATCTGATATATATATCTATATATCTATATATATTTATACATATATCTCTACATCGATTCTGAGAATATAATCACGAACCAGTCGTGTTTACATACAGATTCACAATTACTGAATAAAAAATTATACGATTTAGTAATAACAAGTGTAACTTGCATCAAACGTCTGCAACGCAATCTTTTAATTATGTCGTTTGGAAGAGCAAGTATTTGAAAGAGATCTTACGAACAAGGGAAATAATCCTTTTCTTCTCTTACAATTTTATTCATTTGTAGGAAAAATCCTTTTTTTATATTCAGAGAATGATTGTTTCATTGTAGCTCGTTTTTTTTTCTCCGTACATATTGTACAGTGTGTGATGTTCCGAGCTAAAGTACTTCTGTGTGAAATCGAAAATAATTTAAGTAATGATTAAGTGTAGCGATACGCAAAGTTAGATACAATTAAGAAATATTAGGAGAGATGAGAGATAGAGGGAAAGGGAGGGGGGTGAGCTATTTTTTAAGAAATAATCAGGAGCTCTATTTAACCTACACGTAGCATATGCTAGTACCTCTGTGTTACCATAAGTGAAGAATAAAAAGCCACGATATTGCGGGCTGCATCGTGTAATGACGATAATCACGCATAGTAATTTCTTTTCTATATGACAAAATAAAATTAATGCATAACCTGTAAACTTGATTGTTGACGCAAAAATGTACAAACATTAATTAAAAATAAAAGGGTTCTTCTATTTATTTTGGATTTTATCTGTATTTTTATATCTACAGATAATGTGCAACTTCAACTAAAAAAAAAAAAAAAATTGTTTTGTAGCAAATATCTCGTGTGTAAATTTATATTAAAATTACTAAATTCGCAAGTGATATTAAAAGAAAAAAACAGATTGAAATAAGCAAAAACATGTATGACAGATTTGTGTAAGGAAACTTCATGTATATTTTTTGTTTATCAGAATACAATAGTCTGTACATGCACTACATGTTTGTAAGCTGTCGTCGCAACAAACGTTTTTTTCCAAGGGATTTCTTTTGATTATATCTAAATGTATTATAATAGTGTTAATTATATGTATAAGCAAACTCAGGAGACAAGTTATTACACGACTACTGTTACGAATGATGAGTTGAGAAAAATGTCGCTAATGTATTGCATTAATATATGACAATTCAAACGACGGTTAATCATGATGTGCAGAAATAAATCGCTTACAATATAAAATATAAAAAATTGCTTCTTCATGATTAAAAGGATTTAATAAACGTAAGACGAAAGTTATTTTAAATTCGAAAACAAATTTTTTGCCGATTTTTAACATAAAAATATAATGATTCTTTTGTTCGATTCATCATTATATTTCTGTCGGTCTCGTAAAATCTTGTTAATAATAAAAATGAATAAAATTATACACAATAGAAAAATCCTTTGTTCGTATAATTATGAACAATATAATATTTCTTTTCATATATTATGATACGAAACGTTTAATAACATAATTTACTGTATTTTAATATATATAACATGACTTCAATAAAGGTATTTGATTGAAAATCGTTGTTACACATGCCGCTATTGTTAATGCCGCTAGTTGTTAATGTCATTATTAGTTGAAAATGCCATTAGTTATAATGCCATTATAGTTGAAAACAGAATTGTCTATAAACATAAATGAATATTACTCTTACAAATAATATGTACATACAATATCTGAATGCACAAATATATATAATTAGCAAAAACTATTCCAAATTGCTGAAAATATCTCACAAAGCATACATTCGTAATATGGTAATAAAATTGTATAAAGTCATAATATATTACATATATTAAAATAAATTGTGATACTCAATGATCTTTTTAATACCAATGTCGTTTTCGATATTAATATGATATCGAAAACAAATATAAGTTGCATTTCACACATTCCTTACGAATAAGAATCTTGTAAAAATAGTCGAGTAAAATGATGCAACTGTATGTCATGGAAAATGCATAGCGATGACATTCTGTTCAATATTCTTACAATTCATTTGATAAAATTAACACAGAATTGAATCAGCATTATTTAAAAATTTTTTCAAAAATTGCTCACGCACCGTGTATCCCTATGATACACTAAATTACATAGAAGGCCAGCTTCGAGTCTTTTTTTTTATTTTTGAATTACACAATATAATAAATATTTAGTAGTTTATAACTTGTTACTATATATTGATATTCCGAATGTAGTTGCAAAAAAGTATTCTGATGAAATAAATATATTCTATATTAATTTTGAAAGACTATGTAGAATAATGCATTAATAATATTTCTTTTAATACTTTCGTCTTGCGTTGAAATATATATATATATAAACGTAATACTAGAAGTTTCTATAAAAGTAAACATAATATATGCATAATAGTTTAATATACGAGAGAAAAGAAAGAGAGAGATTCATATGTATCAAACATATTTATCGTCATATGTATCTATCATACTGTGTAATGCAATAATAAATATGAAGTCCTGAGTACACATATGTACAATTTGGGAATCACTGCGACCTATCCGACCGCGTTCGACTATTCATATGTTAATAAATTAAATACATTAGTAAAGATTCAATCATAACGTCAAGAAAGTATATTACACGTGATTCAAATATAATTATATGAAAGATTATGAAAAATAGAATATTACTTCTGTGCAATAAAGCATTACGTGAATACACACGCTTATATTCACATTCGCATATGACTGATTCTTTCCACTCACGCTGACATGTTTATTCTTTTGACTCTACGAAACGTATAATTTGTACATTTACCTATGTCAACTATGAAAAAAAATGTACAAAACATTTTCTATACAAGTCCACGATTTGCAATTATATTAATGCAGTAAACCAACTCGTGGAAAAATCGATTACAATTAACATTTAAGGATCGATAGAAGTGACAAGCTAATCCCAAATTGATTACTTGCTTCTTATTCACAGTATAAATACAGGTATATCCATACTCTATCACATACATATTTTGTCACATAGTTGTCACGAAACTTTTTTTTACCCATATTTTACGAAGCGAAAATGTTTTGTTCCAAAAACTAAATTACAAAATTCAGCTTTTCAGCAATGTAAAACTCATGTTTTACGCTGCTAAAGAGCTGTAATTTAGCTTTTAATACAAAATTATCTGTATCCCAACTGCGCATTATAGTGAGATATCAGAACGCATTTTTATTTTCTTTTCACCAAAAAATCGTTCCATAACAAGTTGTATGACAATTTACTTGATTATGCGTATCTCAATTACAGCATGATTTTTTCAATAATTTAACCGTAATTTAAGTGAATAGAGAAATCTATTTGTGATAAAGATCTTCGCAGTCTCTTCTGTCAACCCTTAACTTCGATTATTCTTCTTCCATTAATCGTAATGAAATGAGTATAGTCTATTCAGTTTAAAGTACTTATTAATTGTTTACAACATGACTCTTGACGTTGTTATAAATCAACACAGTATCTATTTTATCAAAATTAAATGATTAAAAGTTAAATAAGAAAAATACACGTTAAAGCTCCTGAATAATCACTACAGCCATATTGAATCGTGATGTCAGAAGTGAGAGATGACACGTTAATTTTTGTTGCGTGCCATTTGTAAATAAAGACAATTTGGATAAAACGGAATGATGAGATCGCTTTAAAACAATTGTAAAAATGGACGAAAGCTATTCTTCTCCCCTGGCAGTCAATAAATAAATTGTAAGAAGTGATGAAAAGTAAAAGTGAAAATAGGCTACGCATGGGCATTGAATAAAAGTACTTCATGTGCCTT